ATAACGGTGGATTTGCCTGGCGCGCGCCAGGAGCGGTTCACAGCTGAGGAGACTGACGTTCTCGTCAGGGCCGTAAAACACAGAGAAGTGACATTGGGGATGGAGAAACCCACCCAAATTAACTTCGGTTAAACAGGCGTATGATTATTTGGGTAAATGTGTAAGCTAGATGTATGCTTTTATAATAAATTATCTATCTATCTATCGTAATAATGTTTGATTTGCAAAAATGAAAACTGCTGCTTAGATGAGAGAAAGTGTATGCGCGTTGTGCACACGCTACATTGATTATGGCCAAGCATGCGCCCTTAAAATAGCATAATGAACAACACGCAACGCGCCATTGACTTTAGACTAGGTTTTTTCTGGTCAGTGGCGCAATTGTTTTATAGAACAGCAAAATAGCATGAGGGAAAGTTTGCGCCGGAACACGCCTCCTCTTTGCGCTGAACCGCCCCGGGGAGCGCAAGTGTATTTCTTAGTTAACCGACGTGTGTCTGTGGAGGGAAAAGTCCGCTTTGCGCGGCTGCAAAATAGGAATGATACATGCGTCGGTGTACAAAGTCAATTGCGCTGGGTGCAAGATAGGGCCCCTTGAGTTTATTTTGTCGTTTGTTTTGGATGAACTAGAGTGGTGGACTTAGAAATGTTGACGATGGGTCCTGTCTCGACTTTTTGACCATTTTAGAATAATCTAATGCTCTGACAGCATTAGACTGGCTTTCTATGGGCATGCACAAACATGTGCTTAAAACAACCCTTAACGTTCATTTTCAAAACTGTGCAACTCACCGAGTGGTTAGTGTTGTTCATTGATGATTGAAAACAAATATATCGGCGCAATGTATGCTTTCAATCCGTGTTATTTGCTATAGTGGAACTATTTTTTCAGATACCTCACAACCGCGTATAAACTTCTGCTCGATATTTGATATATTAGCGCAGTAATATCAACGAGCACTGAGTCCTTCAACAGAAATCATGCGATTTTACAAATTGGCAAATAAAACACGACAGAAACTGTATTTCGCTACGCTACTTGTTTTGGAACATCAACGAACACCACTAACCACTCGGTGAGTTGCACAGTTTTGAAAACGAACGTTAAGGGTTGTTTTAAGGACATGTTTGTGCATGCCCATAGACAGCCACTCTAAAGCGGTCAGAGGAGATTCTAAAATAGTCAAAAAGTCGAGACAGGACCCATCGTCAACATTTCTAAGTCCACCACTCTAGTTCATCTAAAACAAACCAAAATAGACTCAAGGTGTTAAATACTGGAATTATCCTTTAAGTTACAAAATAACAAAATATAACAAATGAGCTCTTCCTCATAATAGACCTGGACAAGACTAGCAGCAGCCTGGATAAAAACAGGCAGTTTCAACAGATTACAATACTAAAATAAGAACAGATATGGAAACAGAAGCATAGACAAAAAAATTTAAAAGGGGTATAAAAACATTAGACTAACAAACTGTGACAAATTAGCCTCCAATCCTTTCATTTAGGATATAACAGCATTTAACTAGATTCACTTTTAAGTCCTACAAGGGGTAGATTCCAGGCAGAACGTGCAGAATACATACAGCGTTTTTGTATAAAAACATCTTGAAAGGATGTTGTCCAGTACATTTCTTTAAAATACAAACACAGAGAAAGGAGGTAAGAACACCAGCAATTGCTCTTCTTTCTTGACCTGCTTTTATCTAATGATTGAGCATCAGCAATATCTGAGATGAATTTATGTGCAATACAAACATTTGCATTTGGCAACAGTTACAAATGAATAAGCTGCCTTTTATATGTTGCTTTGAATATGGTGATGAGTATTTCAACTAACTGGCTTGACTTCCAAAATATTTGTGTTTTTCCTTTGGTAGATGGAGACAATGTGTGCCGTGTCTGCCGTGTCCATTTTGATGACAAAAATAAGAATGCAAGAAAGAAGTGGCGTTCATGGTCACAGTGCACAGTGTGCCAATCATGGTCACACACTGCATGTGGTTTTAAAAAGAACATGTGCCTTCACTGCCAGTGTCAAAACACCATGCAAACACCCTGAACCTATGCTATTTACTGCATTCCAAAATGTATCCTGTTACTTTGAGTTGTTTTTACTGTGTTGACGGCCCCCAACCCATCCCTACAAATACACACACACTCACATAATAAATACATACATACATGCACGTTTTAAAATGTATTAAGTCCCTTTCTCCTTTTTCATTAAAATATACTTGATGAACCTTGCTCCAAATTTATTGTAATGGTTACACCTCACTTGTAAGAAGAAAACTGATCTTTTTGTTTTCATTCACCCCCATTTTTATTTATTGTTGTCGTTTGTTGGCACCATCAATGTGGTCCCTTTTAAACTGGGCCATGTGGGGATCAATAAAGTTCTATTGTACTGAATTGAGTCTACGTGTTTGTTTGTTTATATATGAATCTGTTTCGTCATTGGTTCAGTAGGGCCGGGTTTAAGCAAGTTAAATATAATGGTTGCTATGGATGCTGTTATCACTGAAGCCACTTAGTTCGCATGACGTAGTTCCCTCAGAAGTATTTTCACACTCACTGTGTTATGCTTTTCTTTTAATGATTAACATTTAAGATAAAATGTGAAGTGTATAATTTTATCTGTGTTAAGGATATTAATTGTTTCTCCTTGGATTCTGAGAAATAAAGTTTATTGTCAGTTTATGCAAGGGAGTTCCACTTCTGTTTAGAGTTGTCTGCCATGGATAGACTACATTTCAATTCAAAGCACTGCCGGTCACTATGATATTATATTTTAGTCACAAATATCAATTATTTGAACACATAACCAAACATTTCTTTAAAAAAAAACAAACACTTTCTTTAGGTGAATACAAAAAAATAATGACATGCTTTAAAAAATGCTTTTTAAATGGCACATGAGTTTTGCTAACATGGACTGGGAAAACATTCATCCATCTTCTACTTGGAAACTTGGTTATAAACTTAAGTTGCCTGAGCAATGAATACACATTTTGAATAGTTAAATATGTGTAGTATTAGATTCTGTGTTTAAAAAAAGATAAGAGATACAGCAAGCAAATGTCACCTATTGGGTGGAAGGACCTATGTATAATGTAGACTACTCTTGTATTTGACAACCAATAGGCCTAATAATAGTCTACAAGTAGCCTAAGAGGAGATGACTACCCATCATGTAGACGATGGTCTTAGTCATTAATGGTATTTAACCATCATAACAGCATTAACATAAATAGATAGCCTATGTATTTAAGCCATGTGTGTCCCAAACATAAATGCAGTGTGTGTGTATACCAGATATTCCTCATGTTGTAGGGTTGTAAATCTGTTTACAGAGTCACAAACAAACAAACAAACAAACAAACAAACAAAAAGCTTCATATAGGCTACTCCTATTGAGCCTTCAAAGTGCTCTCTAAAACTACACCAGGGATGGCTTGTGTACGTGAAATGAGAAAATTAAAACTTTGTTGTAGAGCTAAACCAATACATCGTTAGAAAGGTCTTGACCTAGAGAGTAATATTATGTATGTATTAAGATTCTACATGGCCCCTGTTTTGAAATACTGACCTTTGAAACGTCACCTTGGTGCATGTTTGAAGGCTTATAATTAAGCAATAAAAGGGGCTATCGACATGGGACCAACTGTTATAGAGAGACCTTGTCCTTAGTTATCATGTGAATATAGTCAACAATTTGGAACAATGTCAAGTATGGTTAAAAATAATTTTAACCTATTTAAAAATATAAAAATTAATTTAATTTAAAATCGGATTACGTAGATGTGTTTACAATCCCCCTAGACTCCTCATTGTACTCTCAACTAACTATTTACAACCTCCAATTCTAAGAAAAACACTAATATTTTAAAAACTACAATTCCCTATAGATACACAATGCAGCTTGATACGAATAAGCACTGCAGTTGTAGTTTTTCTGGTTTGCAAATTAGGGTTGTAAAAAGATATATCTACTGAATAAATCAAACATTTAGTACAGCCAAACTATTGATTACACTGTATCTAGATGATCTACGCTAAGAAAATGTAAATATGTTGATTTATTTAAGCTATTTTAGCCGAAACAGGATAACCCTTAATCCCGCCCACAACACAATGCACTTCCGTGTTTCTCATAATCGAAGGAGTATTGTTAAAAGTGTTAACCTTAAAATTAACATATCGTAATGTTGAGTTATCAAGTTGTGGTTTTTCTGTGGACAAATGTTGAATTAATTATTTTAAAAAGTGTCTGTGAATAAAATAATTTCGGGCGGAAGTACGTCATGCAAGCTGCGTGGTTTCAGTTATAGCGTCAATAGCAACCACATAGCAACTAAATGCAAGAAAAACTAAATGTAATGTACATTAACTGAACTAAGAATGTGAAAATAAAATTTAAGCAGTCAATTGGAGGAAGAGAAGAACCTACTGTACTGTTATGTAAGAAGAACCTACTGTATTGGAGGTGGCACACTGTCTGGTGGATTATGACTGTAAAACTATTCTGTCATTTATTAAGTAAATTACGGCTACTTTTCTTTTTATTTAATTTATGTGTGCTGTGAATAGGTGCTATGACAATGGTTGAAAACATGGCTATAACTCATTATGAGAAAGGTGTATTGTAGAGTCAATACACATGTATGTTCCCTTTTAGTTTTACAAACTTATAGTTGATTCAGAGGATTCAAGATTCCATACTTTATTGTCATTTCAACTCAGTTGAAGGGGATTTGGTTTGGTGAGCTCACTAAAAAGAAAACAAAGCTCTCACACATAACCACATTTGTACATTACAATAAATAAGTAATATCACAATATGGTAAACACACAATTTTGTACTCATATACTAGTGGCAATATGTGCTTAAATATAGTACCTAAGCTTTAAAATAGATCAGACCTATTAAAACAACACGTCTTTGTGAACTTTGTAAATACAGGCCCTGTCCTGTCATACCAGTGATTACATTCCTAGTTATCATGGTCATCCTCAGTGTCATCCTCATTATCACCATCATCATTGTATACTAGTGTCTGTATGCTTGACATGGGGAGGGCCTGACACAAGTAGGAGTTGTCTACAGGAACAATGTCTGGTACATGTGGGTGAAACATCACAGTGGCTTGATATCGTTTTCTTTCCAGCTGATGGAGACGTTGGGTGAGCGCAGCTTTTGCACCAGGCTGATCTGTGTCTTTGATGGCAGAGCACAGAAAGGCATGCTGCTGATGGAGGTGTTCAATTACAGTTCTCATTTCCTGATAAAGCATGCGCTTTTCCTCAGCTGCCCGAGTCTTCATATGTAAGGCATCAATCCCTCGCCTTTTTAGAGTCCTCGAAACATTATCTTCTTCAATCTGAAAGATAAGATAAATAAAAAACGCTATACCATGTTACCAGGTGGTTTCAAAAATGATGGGCAGGTAGTTGTGGTTGGTGAGCGGTTGTCAGATTGTTTCTTGAGTGACTGCTGTGTGGTTACTAGGGTTAGGTAATTATACTTACAGTGTCATCAAAGCAGAAGTAGACTTGCCAAGAGGGATCACATGCTTCCTGAAAATCAATTATTGTAGGGAAGATGCTCATCTGTGGTGGCCACTGAATGCAGTTGTATTCTTTTATTGCCTGTCTCAGTCTCTTGTTGGAGCTGGCAATCTGCTTGGAAAGTCTAATGGCAATGCCCTGCCCATCTGTAGCAAAGATAGGAAACACGCATGCAGATAAATTCATTTATTAGTGTGTGTTATGGTCCTTTTCAAAGTTGAACTTAATATCTTAATGTAGCCCATCTACGTATCCACAGCACTTTACCTGGATATTTTCTTTTCAGATGGAGGAGGACTGTTCTCTCCCTTGATTCGGTTCTAGCTTTGAAGATTAGTTGTCCTCTGAGCTCACAGTCAACATCTTTAAGGGTAGATGGAAGTCTGAGTCAGATTCTTGCCATCTTCTCCCAATCCGGTGTTTTTTCTCTATGTTCAGCAGAGAGTCCTCAATTCTACAATGGTCAGAAAAGAAATATTATTAATAGTTATTTACACACTTGCTCAGAGAACAGTGACAGATTACTGCTTACTCTGTTTCACACTCCATGTACGACTCACGAGTCCCAGATCTATACATAAAAATAAAAAACACAGCACAAAAATTCATTAGGTACCAAGCAGAAAGCATTTCTGTGGTTCACCCCAGACCAAAGAGTGCATACGTTATTAGGGAGGCCTTGGTGATAATTGATTACTAATCACAACATATTCAATTACTGCAGTATTATAGCAACTCTTAATTTATAACCATTGTAACGGTTTCCTTCAAAGCTATGCTGTTACTGTAATCACACCTACTTCCATGCTGAAGCACATCAGCAGGGCACTGAAAGACAGCTGTAATTACCATATAGTTTTACATAAACACATTAAACTCTTACTTGAACTTGTAGAACTGAATCAGCTGGATGATGTAGTCCCTTTTCCATTTACAGACAGTGTCTGGAGAACAGATAAAGACATTACTACTGCTCTAATACATTGTTTCATTTCATGTAACTTCACATAGCTTGCAGGATTGTATTTCATTACTGTACACGGAAAGGTAAGTATAACATATTTGCAATACTCTTTGCTAATAATTTGCATGACCTTCATACAGTGTTCAAGACATTCACCCATTCACTTCAGTTGCTTACTTATTGGTCTCTGTTTCTGATGGGCTAGCTCCATCTCTCTTTTCTTCCATTTCTCCATGTCTCCCTCAGAAACCAACACTAGACAACAAAAATAACAGAAAACAAGACATCAATACTACATACTCCATGCAAAATGCGCTTGTAAACAGAATCTAAAATTCTCCGGTTTACAACTATTGTTTCCTGCTTCTTATGTGCATTGTTTACCTGGTGCGTCTCTGATGACAGATGAGATGTCTTCTTGAGCGAGAATTGATATTTTCTCTGCTCTGTCTAGTCTTTGCAGGAGCTGCATCTCTGCAAACACAGTTTAATTTACTTATGCTGACCAATTTGTGAGTGATCAGCTTCACTCCAGAAAATATAAAATGTATAAACAGTGAACCACCAGCACAGAATTTTGACAGGTTATGCTGCTGTGGACAAACCTAGGTCAGTTGATTTCCTCCGTCCATAATGCAAAAGGGCATCAGTCAACAGATCGAGGCGGTGAGATGGAGTCATCTCCTTTGTGACTCTGGCAAATCTTCGGAGAAAAGACCACAGCCTTTCCATTCCTTCCCCGTCTGTGAGTCCAAACCCATCGAGCCGCCTAGTGCTGTACTTGATCTGTGATTAAAGCAAAGTGGTAGAATAGATGCTGACACTGAGCATGATCGTACTTCAGTGTAAACTGCTTATAGTGATCACGGTTACAGTGATCAACCACTTATATGGATTCAAAAGCTTGGGACAGAATCATTGCTGTAGAAATGCTGTGTAAATAATTTGTTTATAGTAATCAAGTAGTCCGCTTAGTGTGTTTCATATTGTGTGTTGCTGTGCAAATGTGATGTTTTCCTCTACTCACACTGCTGTGGTCTATGGAGTTATTTTGCCCTCCTGTTCCTGCTCTGCTGTTTTTTTGGGACTTTTATGGTACATAATGATTGTCCTGGCTCTCTCACAGCACAGCTAGGCCTACTGCATGTTACTTGAGTGGAGTGTAATGCTTTCACCTTGACCATTCAGACAGGGCTTGGATCAGAGGGCCTAGGTGTAGCTTATTTTATTTTATCTTTAAAGGAACCCTCCACCGTTTTTTCATATTAAACAATGTAATTTCCTTAACTAAGACGAGTTGACATACCTCTCTCGTCTCAGTGCGTACGCTCAATCGCGCGGCGATACTTTGAGTCCAGTTCATTCATTAGGATCCAAACAGAGATGAAGTTAGAAACGACCAAACACCTCCACGTTTTCCCTATTTAAATATAGTTACACGAGTAGTTACACGACCAAGTATGGTGAGACAAAATAAAACGTGGCGTGGTGTTTTTTGTCGCTTTTAACTTCATCTCTGTTTGGATCCTAATGAATGAACTGGACACTCAAAGTATCGCCGCGCACCAGAGCAATTGAGCGCACGCACTGAGATGAAGAGGTTGTATGTATCCACTTTTCCTTTAAGTCAGAAAAAATAGTGAAGCTGTTCATGTTATACTTTATATGCATGTAATAATTATACAAATTAGATAGTAATCTGCATAAAACAT